TACTATTGATAGAGATCTCCTTGTTAACAGTCACTGTGACAATCCATCTTGTTGAGGGTTTTCCTCTCTTTCTCGGAGTCTCCACTTTTCCAGACTGATGTCTTTCCCCAAGGACTAGCCCCTTCTAATAACATGTCCAAAATATGTGAAAGGAAATTTCACTATGCTTGTCTTCAAGGTGCATCCAGGTTGCACTTCCTCCCAGACATATTTCCTCCAACACAACTCAAAGGCATCAATTCTTTTCTGTCATCTTAATTTATTGTCCAACTTTCAGATGCATAACAAGCAACTGAAAAGACCACGGCTTGGATTAAGTGCCCCTTAGTCTTTAAACTAACATCATTGCTCTTCAGCACTTTGGACAGGTCTTTGACAGCAGATTTTCCCAATACAATGTTTCTTTTGATTTCTTAACTGCTGTTAATCATGGGTGTGGATTGTGGATTCAAGTAAAATGAAATCATTGACAACTTCAATCTTTATCCATCTATCACAATATTGTCTACTGGTCCAGTGGTGAAGATTTCTGTTTTCTTGATATTGAGGTGTAGTCTATATTGAGGACTGCAGCAAATATTTTAAGTCTTCTTCACTTTCTTCAAGCATGGTTGCATCATTTGCATAAGGCAGTTGATAAGTCTTCCTCTAAATCTGATGCCACATCCTTCTAAATATAGTCAAGCATCTCAAAACATTTGCTCATTAGCCACCCGCCACTGCACCTGCCCACTTCTTGGCTGGTGCATTCCAGAGGTGTGCTGATAGTGAACCCCAGCTTAGGAAACAGGGCTGTTCTTCATGTGGATGACTCTGTGCCAAAAGCATGGGAACAACCTAGAAAGATGACATCGTTATCTGTGTTGCTCTGAACTTGGGTTTTGACACTTTTGTTCTTTTTCTGCAGTTAAGCACAGTGGAAATATCACTTTTGATGAGATTGTTGGCATTGCCCGGCAGATGCGACACCGGTCTTTAGCCAGAGAACTCTCTGGAACTATTAAAGAGATCCTGGGAACTGCCCAATCTGTGGGCTGCAATGTTGACGGCCGTCACCCTCATGACATCATAGAAGACATCAACAGTGGTTCTGTGGAATGCCCAGCTAGCTAAAGAACTACAGATGAAAATATTTCAATAAAGGATCATCTGTTAACAAAAAACAAAACAAAACAACAAAAACCCAAAACATTTGCTCAGCTTACAGATTGAATAGATATGAAGAAAGGATACATCTTCATGAGTACTTTTCCTGATTTTAAATTGTGCAGTGCTCCCTTGTTCTGTTCAGACAACTGCTTCTTGGTCTATCTGGTCTTAGGAGCACAATCAAATGATCTGGAATTCCCATTTCTTTCAATGTTACCCTTAATTTGTTAACAATATTCACTGAAATCCTTTTGCATAGTCAGTAAAACATAGATAAGCATTTTTCTGGTATTCTCTGTTTTCAGCCACAATGCATCTAACATCAAGCAATGATATCCCTCATATTATGGGCTGTTCTGAATCCACTTGAATTTCTGCCAGTTCTTGATTGATGTACTATTCGGTTTTTAAATAATCTTCCACAAGATTTTACTTGCCACACCCATGTTTATTGCTGCTTTGTTCACAAAAGCAAAAAGCTGGAAATCACCTAAGTGCTCATCAACAAAGGAATGGATAGAAAAGCTCTGGTATATTCACACAATGGGATACTACACTGATTTGAAAAACAAGGAACTCATGAAATATTATACAAAATGGGTGACCCTAGAGGACATTATGCTGAGTGAAATATCTCAGTCACAAAAGCACAAATATTGCATAGGGCCACTATTGTAAAACAAGACTGACACTGGGGTTGAGAGAAGACAGAGAAGAAGGGGAGAAATGATGTATACTGCACTGCAACAGATGAGGGAGAGAACTGTTTAAAAGGGATATATGATTAGATATTATTGTCATGACAGTAGTCCAGAATGAAGCTGCACAGTGCAGTGGACTTGGGGGGAGGGACTGCATAGCAATGAAAGAGTTTTTCTTTTACTCATCAAGGAGAAAAGGGAATTGGGGGAAGGGATTGGGCAGGGAGAAAAGTGCAACTATGAATGACTGGAAACCCTAAGTCTCTGTTAACTTTCATTAAAATTAATTTTAAAAAAGATTTTACTTGCATGTGATATTAATGACATTTTTTATAATTTCCACACTCTGTCAACTCACCTTTTCTTTTGGAATAGGAACGTACATTAATCTCTTCCAGTCAGTTGGCCAGGTAGCTGTCTTCCAAATTTCTTGACACAGACTACTAAGCATGTCCAGGGGTGTCTCTGTTTGTTGAAACATGTCAATTGGTGTTTCATCAATTCCTGGGACTCAGTCATAAAGCAAAATAAAGTTGTGACACCAGCCACAACAGAAATAAACCTGGGAAGTACCATGCTTAGTGAAATCAGTCACAAAAGGACAGATATTGTGTGGTTTCATTTCTATCAAATAATATAAAGCAACAAACGGATATCAGTGATAACAAGGATGAGCAGGAGGGGAAGTTTTGAATAAGGGCACTGAGATTAGGGGAAGGTGGTGGGGTGATTCAGATTAAAAGGTGTGTTGTTGTTGTTGTTAGGTCGAATAAGACTCATAGTGATCTGAACCCTGTCCTATCCTGTGCCATCCTCAACTCTGACACACTTGAATCCATTGCTGCAGTCACTGTAGATCCACCTGGTTGAGGGTCTTCTCCTTCACTGTCCCTCCACCTTTCCAAGAATGTCCATTTCCAAGGACTAACTTCTCCTAACATGTCTGAAGCATGTGAGATGAAGTTTTGTCATGTTTGCCTAGAAGGAGCAATCTGGCTGCACTTTCTGCAAAAGTATTGGTTTGTTCTTCTGGAAGTCCATGGGATATTCAGCACTTTCCCCCAACACCACAGTTCAAAGGCTTCAATTCTCTGTCATCCTTATTCATTGTCCAATAGAGGTGATTAAAATGGCCTATTTCTATTATGTATAATTTCACTACAATAAGTAAAAAGACGGTAAGATATATACTGGGGGAAGGGGTCAGGACCTCCTTCAGTGTCTAGTGGTAAGAAACTGCTGCGATACCAGGGGCACTTGGTTCAAATCCACCAGCTGCTCATTGGGAGAAAGATGGCCACTCTCTTCCTTGATTTCCTGCCTTTGAAAATATGCTGGAAGGTCAGCTATGGATGGTTCCAATTAGACAGCACATAGCAGCAATCAGTAAGTGAGCCCCGGCTTCTCTCTTGCCCTCTGCAGGAGTTGTGTCCAGCAGGTCAGGGCAGCTATGGGCTCCATCTACTGGGACCTGGCACAGAGTTTCTCAGAGCACTTTTCCAGAGTTCATGAACAAATGAAACGGTATACAGTTTTGCCCCACGACAGGACAAGGCACAGTGCAGCTTGGACCACCCCCTGGAGAGATCCCTAAGCTCCTTTTCTTCTTCTTTTTTTTTTTTTCTATTTGCAAGAGTTCTATATTTAGATCAAGTTTCATTAGGGACATTAGGATTCCATTTGTTTAAAAATATTTCATAATTCAAGGGGAGCTCTGGTGGCCTAGTGGCAAGGAGCTGCAACTACAATCCCAGGGGCGCACGGTTCGAATCCACCAGATGCTCTGCTGGGAAAGGAGGGACAATCTCCTCCTGTACTAGTCAGATCTGATTTGACGGTACACTCACACAAAAATAATAAAATTAAAAAAATATTTCATAATTCAGACTTATTCACTAACCTGCTCATCCAACATAAACAATATCAATGTCATCAACATAGACAATATCCATCAATACAAACTCCAACTGTCCATTTGCTGGAAAAATAAGCACAACCCTATAAAACTGGAAATTTCCAAAAGAATTCACAAAACTCCATGAAAGATGATTCTACATTCAACTTCCTTAGAATTAAGGAAATGAAAGTAAAAATGAGACACATTTTTGCTTTTTACATTTGCAAAGATAGGACAAGAATAAATGACATCCATTTCTTGGAAAAAAAAAACCCCTACATGTTTATTTTTAGTATTATATCATTTGTACAAAGAAGAAAGCAACAGAACAAAACAAAAAAATTCAAGAATTAAGTGTCTATCAGTAAGGAACTGGTAAAGGGAATAATAGTCTATCCGCATAATAAGATAAGTTTGTTTTCAATCCTTTCTAGTCTGGCAAAGTACATCATAGGTACATAGTATGTATGCTATTATCAATAAAAGTTATTCTTTCTAGCAGAAATCAGCAATAATTATTGAGAGGACTATGTTATGTTGGGAAAAGGGAAGATGAAGTGGAGGTGGGCCTTTTCTGCTACAGAAATTTTCTCAATACCTCAATATTGTGGAAACCTGTAATTTACATTGTCAAGTTAAAAACAAAAGCCTTGAAAGTCTAGGCAATTAGCTTGAAAAAAAGTTATTTAGAAGTGCTCTCAAATATTACTTTTCCCTGTCATTGGGAGTATAAAATACATTTCACCTTGCATGAGAATATTTCCCACCAAAACACAGTGTGAGCGAATACATGAAACACCACTTAATATGCTACACACACTTCTTTCCCATCCCATATCATTCTATATAGTTTAGAAAATACTGGATGGATTTGATCCCTAAGCTATTGAGGGTGCAAGTACACATATCCAGGGTCTTAGAAGTGAAAACCACAGAACAACTGACAGCTCCCACTTTCCTGCGTTACCTGCGATCAGCTCTCAGTCCCGCCCCCTCAGCGGTCTCGTGGGTTCTCACTATTGGCCCGGCCCGACATGCCTTCTCCTGCGCTGCCGCCACAACAATCGCCACGTGCTAAACCTTAGCACCTGCTCATTGGCCAACAGTCGCAAGCCTAAGCCTTCTGGCCCGCCCCTTTCTTTCTGGGTCAGGTCTCCCAGCCACCACTCCAAATACTGATTGGCTGAACGCCGGGCGCGCAGCAGATTTAAGAATGGGCTGCAGAGTGTCTCACGTGTGCTCGAGACGGCTCGATGGCGTACAGGGGCCTGGTGGCCGAGTTCCTACAGGTGCCGGCGGTGACACGCGCCTACACTGCGGCCTGTGTGCTTACCACCGCTGCTGTGGTGAGCCCTAGTGAGCCGGTGGGAGAGGGGACGGCGTCCAGGCGGGTGGGGCCAGCGTCGCCATGGTGACGACCCTGGCCAAGATTGGGCAGCCTCTGACGCCTCCCGGGTCTCACAGCAGCTGGACGTCCTCAGCCCGTTCCAGCTCTATTTCAATCCGCACTTGGTGTTCCGGAGGTTCCAAGTGAGACCGCCCGCCTCCCCTGCACGCCCCGGCCCCTCCGCTCCGTCCCTCTCCTATCCTCCCGCCTATTCCCTCCTTTCTCTCCCCTGCCCTGCCCACTACTTGCCTCCTCGTCCGCGTTCTGACTGCCCCTCCCTTTCTGTGCTCGCCTCTCTTCCCTCCTGTTTGCCCCTCCCCACCCCTTTCCGTTGTCTGTGCCTTCCCTCCCCTTCCCTCCTCCCCTGAGCACCGCGCCCCTGCCAGTCCTCCTCTCCCCTTCCTTGCTTGCCCCAACCCTCCCACCACCTCCTCCGCCCATGCCCCGCCCACTCTCCACAGGTGTGGCGGCTGATCACTAGCTTCCTCTTCTTCGGCCCCCTGGGCTTCAATTCCTTATTCAACCTGCTCTTCGTGTATCCTGCGCAGGCTGAGGGCAGGGGTGCGGGGGTGCGCGGTTGCGGAACACAGGCCAGCGATCTTCCTATACTAGACCCAGCTTCCGCTCCTGCCGTCTGCTGGAGGAAGGTTTTTTCCGCGGCCGCAGGGCTGACTTTGTCTTCATGCTGCTTTTTGGTGGCTTCCTCACCACCGTATCCTTCATGGCAGGCCAGGGCAGAGTTCTCACAGTTTGGGAAACAGCAGCGGCCCGCACGTGCCCATGATCCAGTGGAGCACTGCAGGAGGTGGGAGTGCTCGAGCTCCAGAGATGTCAGTCCGTGAAGGGCAGTGGGGAGCTGGACAAGGTGCACGCGTAGGGTAGTGGTACGGAGGATGGTGCGCGGGGCTACCTGGGATGTCTCTGGGGCCTGTGAAGGGCAGTGGAAACCAGAGCAGGGCACTGGAGGGAATGGCGGGAGGGGTGGCACATAGAGATGCCCAGGGCACCATCTGGCGGGAGGGTAATGGGTAGGTAGGTAGGGAACATAGAGGAATTATGTGCATGGGGGTACTCGGGACTCCCAGGGGTGGCAGCTGGCAGGAGGGCAGTGTGGATGGGGAAATGGCATGGACACTAGTGCAAGCTAGCAGAGGGTAGTAGGGAGCTAGGTAGGGATCACAGGAGAATAGTGTGAAAATCAGTCATTGCACGGGGGTGCCAGCTGGCAGGAGGGAGGGCAGTGTGGATGCAGGGGAATGGTGTGGAGGGTGGTGCACTGGGTTTCTCGCGGTGCCAGCCAGTACAGGGCAGTGGAGAGCCAGGCTGGTGGAAGGGGAATAGTGTGGAGGGCGCTGGGAGATGGCAGTGGGGAGCTGGGCAGGGTGTATGGGAGAATGGCTGGAGAGTGTTGCACAGGACACCAACTGGAGGGAAGGCACAGTGCAGGGGAGAGTGGCTTAGAGGGCTTGAAGGGAAGGTTCAAGAAAGACAGAGGCTTGGTGATCAGGGACCTGTTCAGGGCCCAGGCTGCAGGGTTGGGTGGGCTCAGCTTCCAGGTCCCTTGACTCCGGCTGGGCGCTGGGCCTCCTGGGCAGCCTGGCTTTCCTGGGCCAGGCCCTCACAGACATGCTTGTGTATGTGTGGAGCCGCCGAAGCCCTAGGGTCGCTGTGGATTTCTTCGGCCTCACTTTCCAGGCCCCCTTCCTGCCCTGGGTACTCATGGGCTTCTCACTGCTGCTGGGCAATTCCATCCTTGTGGACCTACTGGGTGAGTTGTCTGCCCATCCCAGGGGAAGTCCAGGAACTTACCCCACCCTCTTGGAATTTGGGTAGGGGCATGAAGGGGTGTGCATGTGTAACAGACCTGGAGTGGTGGACCAAGGCCAGAGTGGTGCCTTCTCCCCTCAGGGATCATTGTAGGACACATCTACTATTTCCTGGAGGATGTGTTTCCTAACCAGCCTGGGGGCAAGAGGCTACTGCTGACCCCTCGCTTCCTGTGAGTCTTAGAAATGCCCTCTTCCTGCCTGCCCAATGCCCTGTCTGCCTGGCCTGCTGCAGGCTGTTTAATGTGGGTCCCCCACAGGAAGCTTCTACTGGACAACCCAGGGGAGGACCCCAACTACCTACCTCTTCCTGAGGAGCACTCAGAACCCCATCTGCCACCCCCACAGCAGTGATGTGCTGGCCCAGGGCCAGTCCCCGCAGCCTTCCACCTCACCCATGCTCCCAGCTCACTCATCCTAGAGGTCCTGGTGCCTACACCAGCCCTAATAAAGAGCAGCCTGCAGCCTGAGCTACGTGCTCACTTCCTATGCCCTGTCTGTGCAGGCCTCACCCTGGGCCACCAAGCAGTCCCCTGAACCCAGCGCTGGGCAGGGGATAGAAGACCCCACCACAAGGAGCTGCCCACAGTGATCCGGCGGGGCTCAGGGCCTCTCCCCCCTTTTGGCCATCACACCGGCCAGGTCGCAGCTGCCTGGGCCAGTTTGTAGGCGCTCTTATCGTTGCCCTTCACTGAGCACTCTCACTTCCTCACCATCAGCTCTTCCCCCTTAGTAAGGGGCCTGCTCCTGATTATCCAGCTGATACCATAGAGGCTAAATGACTAAAGGTATTGGCTGAAGCCACCCGAGATCCTCTCTGTGACCCCAAATTCTGGAGGAACTTCCCCTTACAAAGCTGTTCCCTACAGTGCAGTCTCTGATCTGTCAAGTGGGCGCCCACTGAGCCAGCCAGCTTCCTACTGTCCCTGAGCAGGCCCCACACAGGGTTTAGCCAGGTGGAAACCAGGTGCACAGCCTGTCGTATGCCTACCTGGGCCAGGTAGGGGCCCAGGGCTGTTGGTTCCTCATAGACCCTCATGGGCCAGCGTCCTGCCGGCCCGCCTCAGGACAATCCTGGGGAGGGAGAGCAGAGCAGTGTGCTGTGGTAAGGCTAGCAAGGGTTGCCCTCCCTGGGAGAACCCAGCCTGATACATTCCCACCTGCACCCTCGGAAGGACTGCAGAGAAGCTTGAATGCATGCTACAGTACCCAGGGCCAGCACAAGAGCCCCATGGAGGACACACCACTGCCCAGTGTGTCCTCTGAGTCCCCTCACTGCCCACATATACAGCATGCCAGCCTGCATTCTGCTGTGTTGTGGCCCTGGGACTCAGTGGTGACAGAACCTGGGGACCCAGAGAATCACAAACACGTGTGCCATGTAGGGTGCTGACCTATGACCCTGACTAAGGCCCAGGTACCCACCAGCCAGGCTCTGTGGACAGCCCTGCACTCCCTGTTGCTATCCCATTAGTACATGGAGAAAGAGGCTAAGACTTGTTTCCTTTTATTTTAAAAAGTTGCTGGCCCTACCTGGGGCTTCTATAGAAAAATGAGAACTCACAGCAAAGCTCCTCTGTACCCTAAAGATCAGGAAGGGAAAAAAAACAGACCAGGAAGAGGGGCTTGATGGTGGAAGGCACTCCCACACCCCATGGCGTCTGCCCCCCACAGTGTTGTCATCTGAACTGCTCCACTGACACCAGCAGTGCTGCAGCTACCAGGCTGGGGCGGTGTTGGCGAGACGTCGCATCCGTCTGGAGAGAAAGGACAGTGAGGCAGGGTTACTCATGACTGGGTGCCCACTGTGACACTCAGAGCCCCTCTCTGAGACTCCAACCCAGGGGTGGTGGCTGGCCTGACCCAAGGCAGGTACCTGGTGTTTCTGTCCTGGTCACGGATCTTCTTCTCCATCTCGGCGTCCGTCAGGGTCTCCAGCAGGGGGCACCACTGGTCGGCGTCGCCCGTGTTACGGATGGCTATCTCCACCGTTGGCAAGGGGTTCTCGCTGTGGGGAGGGCGGTGGGATTAGAGGCACAGGCCAGGCCCCCAGGGGCTCACCGGCCAGAAGGAGGTGGCCAGTGTCTCCCAAGTCCTCAGGGACTTCAGGGGCTGCTCACCCCTTAGGATTGTGCACTGCAGTCCCCCCAGGATCCTAGGGTCAGGCTGGGTCTCAGAACTGATGACCAGTGAGCAGGCTGGAAACTTGAGTTCCTGTTCCAACTGGACCAGGGTTCCCCAGATCCACAGTCCACACCCTGGATGGGATGATGCCCCAGGGAACCCAGGGAAGGAAAGCAGGTCAGTGGGCGCATGTGGACTGGGTAGGAGGAGGGCACTAGGTTTGTAGCTGCACAGATGCTGAGGGGCTGGGCCCCCAATCACCCCTACCTTAAGAGAGGAGGCGCAGTTCCCAAGCTCTGAGCCTTGCTTGGTCAGTCATGTGGCCCTGGCCTGCCAGGGAGCCTCACTAGGCCCTCAGGGTCTTCTCAGAGCCTGCCCACCTATCCTAGGGGACTGCAAAGCCTCTAGAAGAGGGCAACCTGCCAGGAAGTTCTGCTTGTCATCTATGCCACTGTACAGTGTCTGTGTTTGAGGACTGCTGTAGTGACAGCCAGACAACAACCCTCACTGAGGGACAGCCAGCCAGCACTGCACACTGAAGGACAGATGGCCAGCACCCCCCGAGGTCAGCCAGACAGTACTCCGTACTGAGGGACAGACAGACAACATCCCACACTGAGGGACAGCCAGACAGCACCCCCTCACTGCGGGGCATCCGGAAAACATCTCACACTGAGGGACAGACAGCACCCCACACCGAGGGACAGCCACCAGCAACCACATGCTGAGGGACAGACAGATAGACAGCAACTCATCACTGAGGAAAAGCCAGATAGGCCCCCTACACTGTGGATGCATCTGAGGGTCTGGCATCTTTTCAGCTCCGTGGCTGACCCAGGCTGACCTCTACCATGGCTGAAGCTGGGCCCACAGCCAGCACGTTCTGGGCTCCCATGCTTACGAAATCCCCTAAGCCTCACACTCTATCCTTCCAATTCATGGGGTCCCTGCCCATGGTGGTTGGTGGGGAGCACAAGCTGGTGACTCAGTGGTGTGCATGCCTGGAGCACATCCCTGGCCCCCCAGCCAGGGTCTGGGGTTTGGCAGTCCAGGAACCACTGGAACCAGACCCCAAACACCATCAATCACGCGGCGCCGGCTAATTCCAGGAGGGAGACATGAAAGGAGCCACAGATCGTATTTTCAGCCTGCTTAAACATGTGGTGGGGGTGGGGTCAAGAGCAGTCCCTGTCTCCTGTTTACCCTCAGCATGGAGAGTCCACCCCAGTGGGCTTGTTCCAACAAAGACCCACGTGACCCTGTGCTCTGGGGACCAGCTGTAGGCCAGCCTGAGCTCCAGGTAAGGACACGGCTGGAGGGAAGGGCTGAGCTCAGCCCCTGAGCCTGCAGAGCATCAGGCCAGCTGAGACCATCCCAACAGACAGTGTCAGGCAGGGGGTTCACACAGGGTGAGGTACCTGCTTCCCGAGATGTGAGAACTGGGATGGAGCAAACACCCCAGCACACTAGACCACCAGCCTGCACCTTCCTGATCTAGATTTGGCAGTGGTGTCCTACACACAGCATGAAACGGGTAAGAAACAGAAAAGGAGGTAAACTGGACTTCTTCATAATTACACTTTTGTTGCTGGAAAAAAGCTATCATCAAAAAGTGAAAAGATGGCAAACACAACTGAGGGAATTTTTTACAAGGGAGCTCTCACAGCCTAGTAAGATGCTGCTCTGGGAATCCACAGGTTGCTTTGCAGAAGGATGGGGAGTCTCCTGTGCAATCTGCTGCCTCTGACAATCCACTGGAAGGTCAGTTACGGGTCAGGGTCAGTTCTGACTCAACTGCATACAATCATTTGTGGTGTTCAGCACTGTATAGTTGACCTCTCACAGCAACCCTATGAACAACGGATGGAGATCTTGCCCCATCCTTCCTTGCAATCTCCGCCACACTCAAACCTGTAGTTGTAGTCACCGTTAACTTGTCTCCTTAAAGGTCTTCCTCCTTTTGCTGACCCTCCACTTTTCTAAGCATGGTGTCTTTTTCCAAGGACTGGCCTCTCTTAATGTTTCCAACATCTCTGCCTTGAAGTATCACTATCCTTGTCTCCAAGAAGCAGCCAGGTTGCACTTTGTCCAAGACAGACTTGTTAGATCTTTGATCAAGGCAGCCCATAGGACACTCTATTCTCTTTTCCAACATCACTTTTTCTGCAGTTTGGTTTTCACTGTCCAACTCTTAGATGCATATGCAGCAACTGGAAAATACCATGCTTCGGGTCAGGATTCCTTTACCTTTAAAAGTCCTTCCTTGCCCTTTAAAGAGGTCCTTAACAGCAGATTTCTCCAGTGGAATACATCTTTTGATTTCTTGACTACTACTACCATGGGTGTTGATTATGGATCAAAGTAAAACGAAATAATTGACAACTTCAATCTCCATTTATCGTGATGTTGGGGAGCTCTAGTGGCCTAGTCTGCAGGGAGGTGGGCTGCTGAACCACAGACCACACCTCTCTGGTCATCAGTCCACCAGCAACTGTGCAGGACCAAGATGGACAGCCTCTGCTCCTGCGATTTATGGCCTTGGACACTTGTTGGAGGGTCAGCTATAATATGGTTCCAACTAGACAATAAACAATGAGCATTTGATGTGTTGTCGAGTCAGAAATGACCCACAGATGACCTTCCGGTTGGTTTTTAGAAGTAGTAAATGGCCCAGGAGTAGAGTCCTATCCTTCTCTCATGGAGCAGCTGGTGGATACGAACTGCATGCCTTTGGGATTGTGACGCAGCTTCTTACCACTAGGTCACCAGAGCTCAATGAGTAAGTGACCGTGAGGTTATATATTAGTTCAGCTGCAAGATTTTTGTTTTCTTGATGTTGAGGTGCAATCCATATTGAAGGCTATAGTCAATGATCTACTTCAGTAAGTGCTTCAGGGTTTTTCACTTTCTGCAAGCAAGGCTGTGCCATCTGTATAACATGTTACTGATGAGTCTGTCTTCAATCCTGATGCTAAAAGCAACAAGGGGCCAGCAGACACCAACACCTCAATCAAGCCTCTCAGATGGGGCACGTTCTTAGGACAGAGCTGGGAGCTCAGCCACTGTATGGGTCACTGCTCCCAGCAGCGCTTCTCTTGGTCAGAGAGAGGAGTAGGGGTGTTGTCTCATATGGTTTCTGGGAAAACAGCATGAGTCACAGGCCGGCTGTGAGCACATGAGCTGTGGTCGTCTGGAAGGCCTGCGCCTGGCCTGCTTCCGATGACCACCACGTGTGGGTGGTAGAGTTTGATGTGATGACTCCCAACATCCTGTTTTGATCCAGGGGTGCTCAGTGTCTCCCCCATACTTCCCATAGACGAGCATGAAGAGGACAGAATAGGCAGGGGTCTTGAGACCCCACCAGCTAGGTGTCTGCAGGGCCACATGCTCCCGATAAGGGCAGGAAGGCTGGGCGAGAGGACACATTCTTGCCACTCTGGCTCACACCTGATTGTGTGCTCCCCAAGTTCTCTGACTCCACAAGGGAAAAGAAGGAAGCAATGAGAAGGCCAGACAGCAATAGGAAGGCTATCTGTGGCGAAATGGGCAAGGCGCAGACCCCAAGTAGGTTGGTGGGGAGGGGGACATGAGAGCTGGGGGCCAAGGTCTGAGCCAGGGAGGACAGACAGGTCTTGGGGGTTGACGGAGTCATGGTCAGAGTTCTAGCTGCTGTGCAACTGGGTCTGGGTGTGCACTGTCCACCATCAAATGGTCTCTGGGCCAAGGCCACAAGGGGATGGGGCACAACACGGGAGGACCCACAATGGCTCAAGCCACCAAACTGTTACGGCAGCCCAAGGTCCCAGAAAGCTCATGGGCCCTACACCCACCTGTGCCATATCACAGAAGGTGACAGAAGGGCAGCATCCTACCTGAAGGCATAGGTCTTCTGGTGCCAGCTCAGCTGCCCTCGGATGCTGTAGGCAATGGTTGTCACGAACTCCCCGCCCAGGCCCAGCTCTGAGCACAGCTTCAAGGCAAACTTTTCAGGCGAGTTCTCCCTCTCCGACATATCCCACTCAAACTGGTCCACCAGAGAAATGTTGCCCACGTGGATGTTCAGCTAGGGCCAGATGCATGAGTTAGCATGATGCCCACACCCGGGAGGCTGGCAGGTGCCAGTGGGTACCTGTGAGCTACCCTGTCCCTCCCGCTGCGCTCCCCACCTGTAAATGGACTGGCTGGGAGCCTCCTGGGGCTGCGAAGTGGGGGCAGTTTGAAGCCACCACCCCAGGCCTGCCCCCTGCTAACTAAGGCCCTGTCCTCCTGTCCCCTCAATGCGTGCCCACACTGCACTGGGTTACCCCATAATTGTTTGTGCTGAGTTACCTCACACTTGTCTACACCAAGTGACCCCAGCTTGTCTACACTGAGTGACGTCACATGTGTCTACACTAAACTCTACCGTGTGAACCACAGTTGTCCGTACAGAGTGACCCCACACTTTCTAAACCAAGTAACTCCAGTTTGTCCATACTGACTGACTCCACCTTGTCAGCATTAAGTGACCGTGGATTATGTACACTGAATAACCCCACTCTTGTCTGCACCAAGTGACCCTGGCTTGTCTGTGCTGAGTGACCTCACCTTGTCAGCACTAAGTGACCCTGGATTATGTACAGTAAGTAACCCTGACTTGTCAGCACCATGTGACCCTAAATTATGTACATTGAGTGACCCGGTTTGTCTGGGCTGAGTGACCCCACCTTGTCAGCATTAAGTAACCCTGGAGTCCACACCTGACTTGCATGGTATGGCTCTGGGAAGCCTTCCTGAATCTCCATGAACAGAACAGTCCTGCCTGGTGCTGACACGGGGCAGATGCCCACCTTAATGATGACCCGCTGGTCAGATTGATCCTCCAGGATGCTGTCTGTGGGGTAGGACTCGATCTGCTGCCGGATGGCTGAGGCGATGGCTGGTACAAACGTCAATGGGTTCAAGTCCAGGTCATCACAGAGAATTTCCGAGAACATCTCAGGCGTCATCAGCTTCTCTGCAGTCAGGAGACAAGGTGGCCAGCTGAGCCATGGCAGAGGATGTACTGCACAGTGCTGCCATTACCCATGACATCCTCTCCTACTACACAAAGGAGTCCACCCCTCCCAGAGCTCAGCTCTCAGCACCTCCCTCCCTGAACAACAATGCTATTGCTGGAATCAGGTCAGCTCTCATGGTGATGTCACACACAAACCAAACACAGCCTGGTCCTGCTCCTCCCCACCACTGCAGGGAGGGACAATCATTCAGCTCTTGTGCCTGCTCATATCCCTGAAGGTCCCCCATGCCCTCACTGACCCAACACAATGGCTTCCTCCAGCCCCCACTCTCGCTCCTGATCATGTGTCCACAGCAAATGGGTTAGACAGTACTCTGCTGGCCAATCAGGGAAGGAGCGGTGCTGCCAACCCAAAGGTAAGCAGCTCAAATCTACCAGCTGCTCTGTGAGAGAAAGATGGGCCACCTCCTCCCATGTGATCTATGTTGTTGTTAAGTGCCATTGAGTTGCAGGCAACTCATAATGACCCTATGAAGGAGAGTCCTCAACACTTGGGTGTGTCTCATCCTCTCACCAGGTTCGTAGGGTTTCTGGAGGCAAGCTACTATGGAAGTGGATGCCGCTCCTGCTTCCAAGCTTGTTTTCACTGGGGAGCTGCACAACCTTTAAGTAGCTTACCATTATCTTGCACACCCAAATGCTGGCAAACTCTGGGCCGGACACCCCCAGCTCATCTGGCAGGTCCACTCTGCCAACCCCCATTTGGGGCAAATAGAATGCCACAAGCACCTGGATCCCTCCATATCTGCGGCTCCTCAAGACACCCGAGTCCATGCACAGCTGACACTAAGCCTCCCGCATGTGATCTATAGCCTCAGAAGACCTACTGGAGGGTCAGGTATGGGTTGGTTCCAACTCGATGGAGTGGGGGCCATTAGATTTTCACTGGCTCATTTCCAGAAGTAGATCCAGGCTTTTCTTCCTCATCTCTTAGTCAGAAAGCTCCATGGGAATTGCCCTGCTAGTATCTGAAATACCACTGATGGCCTGTTAGAACACAGATCATTAACCAAAACTCGAGCAAACTCTAAGAGAGACCTGGTCAGCCAGCTGGCCAAGGGCGTGTCTGCCTGCAACTACTCCTGGCCTTCATCGAGAGTGTGCGAATGGGCATTTGTGGAGAGGGGGATTGCGTTTTCTTGATGAGAAGACAATTTATACTGAAAACTGTAGTCTTTTGGTCATCTTCAATAAGTGCTGTAAGTAAATACTTTCTATAAGCAAGGTTGTATGATCTGCAAGCTTTTCCTGCAGAAAGTCAATGCCTATAGACTTCAATATGGACTGAAGCTCAACATCAAAAAGATAACGATAGTCACGACTGGACCAACTGGCAGCACCACAATTGAAGGTGTTAACAGTTTCTGCTTGCTCAGCTCCACAATCAACACACATGGCGCCAGTTGTCAGGAAATCAAAAGATGAACCACACTGGGGAAGCTTGCTGTCAAGGACCTCCCCAAAGTGCTAAAGAGTCAGTCTAGGAACTAAGGTGTGCTTGATCCAAGCCATGGTCTCTGCAATTACTTGCTATGAATCAGAGAGCTGGACAAAGTCTAAGGATGGCAGAAGAAGAATCAATGCTTTTGAGTTGTAGTGCTGGAGAAGAGTATTCAAGAGAACTAACAAGTCTGACTGGAAAGATGAAATCAAGTTTCTCCTTGGAGGCAAGGATTTTGAAGCTCCATCTCATACTTCAGGCATGTGGCCAGGAAAGACCAGTCCTTGGAGACGGACATCAAGCTTGGAAAGGTGGAGGGACAGTGTAGTAGAGGAAGACCCAAGATGAGATAGACTCATAGTAATAGGGATAGTGGGGGTAAATATGTTGGAGTCAGTGAGACTGGCTCAGGATACAGCAGGTTTCAGAGATACTGTACATAAGGTCACTATGAGTTGCAAGCAACTTGATGGCACATAATAACAGCAACAATAATGTGCAGTAATAGAGGTTGTTGATGTGTTTTCCATCTTCCAAACCTGATGCCACATTCTTCATAGAGTCTAGCTCTATATTCTCTTTCAACATTCAAAAGCAGCAATTCTCTTTTGCTGTCCAGCATTCATGTGAACAAGGTGACTGAAAATACCTTGGCTCAAGTCAGGAACACAAACCTCTCAAAGTGACATCTTTGCTTCCCAATACTCCAAAACAAGATCTTATGCATCAGATCTGACTAATGCAGTATGTCGTTTGACAGCCTCTTCCATGAACACTGATTGCAGATCCAAGAATAATTAAATTCTTGACAATTTCAACCTTCTCTCCATTTTGTGAGCAAACCTCTTTTATAGACATGCTCTTATATTGAAACAGATGAGGGAGAGAACTGTTTAAAAGGGACATATGAATGGGTATTCTTGTCATTACAGAAGTCCAGAGTGAAGGCTGCATAGTGGAGTGGACTTGGGGGGGGGGATCTCATAACAATGAAAGAGTTTTTCTTTTCAAGGAGAAGAGTGAATTGGGGGGTAGGGGGTGGGTAGGGAGAAAAGTGCAACAATGAATGACTGGAAACCCTAAGTCTCTGTAAACTTTCATTAAAATTAATAAAATTTAGACTAGCTCTAAAAAAAAGTTACTCCTTTTTTCTCACTAGATACTTACTCCATATTGACAATAATTTAAAAAAACCCTACTATTAATTTTGAAAACACTGTTTTGCCATATTAACCAATTTACCTGCATGATCACTGGTATATTTGAGCGAAATGTGATCATACTCCAAGCAAAATAATTCCATATTACAGAATATAACTTACATTTAACTTAGGTTATTAAATCACCACTCATGTAAAAAAAAAAAAAGAAGTGCTCAGGGGAAGCGATTCAATGAAATGTTAACTTGTATTGCTCCTGGGAAATCAGGAAGGAGAAGTGGTTTTCTTGGGAAATTTGTACAAAGAATGTTATAGCTACATAAACAGTTTTCTTAAAAATGCTTGCATCACTTAGTCTCACGGCGCATCTGTCAGCCTGTTGCAAGACTGCTGAGGTGTTAATAATGCTGAGTTTGCCTTCTTATAAAAAAACTCTCTTCAGTACTTCTGAACGCTTTAACTTTCACTTTGTTCTGCTCGAAGTTGAGTTGTTATTCCGCAGTAAGTTCTTTGCTCTTGCTCCTGAGAGAGTTAAAGGTTTTCTTCTTCGACATTATTTGATGTAGAAGTGGGATTTTAAATGTGCACTGTCTCCATCAGACCCCAGTATTAAATACAAATGGTTTGGCACTGGCCAAGACTTGGGATTTGGGGTCCTTATCACTGAGGACTCTCAGAAATTATCCCAAGATAAATAATCTCTCGAATCTGAGCTCTGTTGTTTTGCACTGTAACTCTCTGAGTTAATGTAAGGATTTGTTGTTTTTTAAACTATCTTCAGAGGAAAAGTGAGAAATGCCAGTCCCAGGATGAACTGAAACCACTCCAGTCCTTTGACATGCTTGTTCTTGTCTGGTAGGCATGGTCTTACTAAAAACAGTCTTTTTCCTGCAGAGTGACTGGAAGATTTGAACTGCTGACTGTACAGTTAAGAGCCCACCACACTGCAAACTATGCCACCTGGGCTCCTAAATTGGTACCTAGTCTCTAAAAGATAGCAAAAAAGCAAGATTAGTTCACTGCAGGATACTGTATCTGAATTAACAAACAAGGAGCTCCAGTCTCAAGATCTTGCTCCTATTTTACCTGTCCCATTGCCTCAATCTCTTTATGCCTCTCTATCCTTTCATATGTTGATAAATACTGTGTGAATTTTTTCTCTTTCCTGAGAAACTCACTTAAAAACTCGGAACTGAAACTTCTCTTAAAATCCACCCTTGATTCAGCCTGCATTATATTCACTGCTTCGGCCTCACTCAGAATTGTACCATATTTTGAAAGGCTTCACAAAGATCATCTGGAAAAAAAAATCTTTAAAAATTCCTGTTGAGGTTTACAAGTCTGGACTTCTTGTTTTGTACTAACTTGTTCATAAGCTGGGCTCTAGTGATGTAGGGTGTGAGGAATTGCAGGGCCAGTCCATCAAATGCTCTACGGGAGAAGGATGGGCAACTGCCTCTCACGTGATTTATTATTGTTGTTGTTGTTGTTGGGTGTTATTGAGTATGACCCATAGTGACCTATGAACAACAGATCTGAACCCTGTCCTATCCTGGGCCATCTGCACACTTCCTGACACACTGGAGTCCATCACAGTAGCCACTCTGGCATCTTCTTTGCCAACCCTCTACCTTTCTGATCATCATGTTCCTATCCAAGGAAGAGTCCCTCCTAGCAACATGTCCAAAATATGTGAGACAAGCTTTAATATTTTTTTTCCTTGTTGTATGCTGTGAATTAGATTCAACTGGCACCAGAGGAGACCGTCTCTCCTCCAGGAGAGCATCTGGTGGATTCAAACCACACAGCTTCAGGACTGCAGTGCAGTGTCTTGCCACTAGGCCACCAGAGCTCCCTAAGCTTTATTATTTTTGCCTCCAAAGAGCACTCAGGCTGCACCCTCTCCAAGACATAATAGTTTGTTCTACTGGCCATCCATGAGATATTCAGCACTTTTCTTCACCACAACTCAAAGGGATCAACTCTTCTTCTAACATCTTTATTCACTCTCCAGCTCTCAGATGCACAGCAAGAAGGACCATGGCCTGAATCAGACGCATCTTAGTCTTCAAACTGACATCATTACTCCTCAATACTGCTGGTACCAAGAGTGTTAATTATGGATCCAAGTAAAATGAAGTTGTTGACAGTTTCAATCTTTTTTTAAATAGTATTTTATTTTTTAAATTTTTGACGCCTTTGAGCTGTGGTGCTGGAGAAGAGTATTGAATGTACCATGGACTGCCAAGAAAACAAAGATTCATCCAAGAGAAGGTTAAACCAAGCTACTCCTTGGAGGCAAGGATTCTGGGGCTTTGTCTGACATACTTTGGACA